TTATTCTTTCATTTTATATACAGAGATGCAGTTCCTGAACTTTGCATATCTAACTATATAAAATGGCTTCATAGGTTGCAGAATGTCAGAGCGTCTACGTCCTGCACGGCAAGGAAGAAACCGTGTGGCGGGTTTAGTCCCCGTTCATATCTTTGCACTGGAGAACCCTTGCGCCATTTTAGACATCCATTTGGGGTTCCTTTTTGGATAACAGATGAAATACCAATTCTGCGGCATGGAGTTTTATGTATTTTGTATCGGCGTCTCGGCTTGAAAAGTTGCAGCGTGTAGTGTACTGACCTTTCAGAACGGGCGCCGTTTGTCCGTAGCGTGGAAGCATTGCGGGCAAAGAACTTCAACTCATTCAATTTCGTTTCATTTTTAGATCACGTCAATTTGGCACGGCCATAATCATCTCCGTAATCATATTCAAGAAGCTTAGAGAGACCCTGTCGCCAACTAACAATATTGCAGGTAACAGCACAGGACTGTCAAGTATCAAAAAACAAGAAACAAAAATAAAGCTATTTAAAGTTGTGGAACAAAAAGACGGAGGAGGTGCGACTTTCGCCATTTGAATTCAGTATACCGGGGAAGATCGGACTCCATTAAACAACCAAGTATCTTAGATGTTTACTTGCAGTGTTTTTCCGTATTAAAGGAGAACTATGAGGGGGGAGGGGTGCTTTTCACTCACCTCATAGTTCTAGCCGACCTGTGACAATGAGACTGTCACAGGTCGGCTCAGTAGATCGGGAGGTGATAGAACACATACTGGCGTTCGCTCACCTCTCGATCATGTCCCGGCTCTCTGCTGTGACAGGGGAGGGGCTGGATTCCCCTCTCCCCGCTCCGATCCGCCAGCGCTGACTGGTGGATCGGACGGGGGAGGGGGCGGGTACAGCTGGATCTGCCTATAGATAGGCGGAGCCAGCTGTCAGTCACGCAGCTGGGTGGATCCAGACATAATTGTTGGGATCCGCTTCAGCTGCGGCGTCTCAGTATATAGGGAGCTACAGCTAGCGGTATACTGAGCTTAGGGTGACGGGAGGACGCTAGTTTGTGTCCTCCCGTTACCCTAAGGAGAACTATGGGGAAAAGCCCTGACCCCATAGTTCTCCTTTAACCTGCAATGTGCCTTTGAACTTGCTAACAGAATTTGACTGCTCCAGGAGGGTCTGTGTGCTAGCCCATTTTTCTGTTTGCCTGAGGAAGGGACCACTGGGTTCCGAAACGTCGCCTAGAGATGTTACACTATCATAGTCAATAAAGAGATTGACTGGGCATCGCTTTGGAGTGCGAGTGACTTTTTTCTGGGTCTGTTTGCTAGCCCAGCCTACTCCCTGCTTGCAGCTTATAGCCCTCAATGTGGCTAATTACTGTGTGTGCTGGCCAAGCTCCCTAGCTCCTCACCTCTGTAGCTTCGAAGGGGAATACTATAGAGTGTTAACAGAGTGGCAACTCTGTGGCTGCTGACGTCACGTCCAAGATGGTGCCGCCCAGCAGCAGTCTCGGGGCTTTTGGATGCCTACACAAGGGTGGCTTTTACAGATCAATAACATGCAGAAAATACATTACATGCAAATGTAAGCTCATGGCCAGATTTTTGTTGAACTGAATGGCCTAGCAACAGGGTCTCTTTAAGAAACTTCTTAACCCCAACATTTGACCCCCATTTCTACCACAACCATTAGTGGCAGTATCAAAATCCATTGGGGGGAATTTATTCCCTGCTCTGACACTTCTGGGAGGCACGGGTGATGTCACTGTACCCCCCTGCAGAGCTGGGAGCTCAACCTCCATTGAGAATACACTCTTGCAATGGGTGTGGAAGCATTCTAGTGGGATTTCAAGATACCTTCCATTTGTGATGGAAGTTCTGCTTTAAAAACTAAAATGTCAATGTGCTTTGCCATGTATAAAGATGAACACCAAAGTGCAAAGATAAGAACGGAGCCAAAGCCACCACCATTCGGTGACGTCATCACTTCCTGGTGAATGGCATCATTCATAACATTACCACACATAAACAGCCGCCTCGGTGCTGAGCTGGAGAAGGACGCTCTTCGACGCACACCAGAAATATCGCGATAACACTGTGAAGAAGGAAGGGAAGTCCTGTCCATGGTTTATTCAAATCCTGAAGGTTTTTGTGTATTTTGGAAGGACGCCTCGACCTGTACGCATCCATATGGTCTGTCTGTCGGCAGCACTAGCAGACTAGGTTGTGGGAGGGTCAACCTATCAATCATCAGGTGGGACTCGCATTGGTACCAAAACCCTGGATCCGATACAAATGTGTAAACAATGCAGGTTTAGGTGGTTGGTAATGTCCTGCAGATGCCAGTCACTTGAAGGCTTCTAGAGTCGTCACCTTTTTTTTCATGCTGGCCAAGGAAAACGAGCATTGGCTCATCACTGACGTCATCGCGCACGCGCGGCAGTATTCTGATACCTGCCGGCGGCCATCCTGGTGATGGACGCCGGCAGAGAGAGGAGGGGACAGTCACCCGGCGGGATAAGGTATGCCGCCGGGGTCCCCTCCTCCTGATACTGTCGGGCGTTCGGTCCATGACTTTTCAGAGGGGGGGGTGACACCAAAATGACTGTGAGTCATTTTGGTGTCACCCCTCCAATGGTGGCCCCCCCCCCGCGTGACGCCACTGCTTTTAGACCAATTCAGATCATTGCTGACCTGCAAACATCTCACAACTGACCCAACTCGAATCTCTAGGCAGATCCTTCCACAAACTAAGCCATTGAAAGCCACACACAGAATGGATTGCGTTTACTGCTTTCAGGCGAGTGCCAAAAAGAGGGCGGACTGGACGCGACGCATCCAAAATACCCCGAAAACCTTCACAACTTAAAACATGACAAGACCTTCCTCCCCTAACCTCCATAAAAAAACGTCAGGTGCACTCTTAAGCGGGAGTTCTTTTCTTTGGGTGGATTTCTGAGACCTCGGTGCGTACCACAAAGTAAAATACTTGTAAGAAATAATAATACTGGCTTGCTCATGCAATGTCGTAGGCATCCTGTGGCACTGTTCTGGTATCCAATCTATTTACAATCTGTTTTCCTTACATTATGTACAAATATTACAGCGTTTCTTCCAGGGCACCCAGCGGACGTTTCGTTGGCGCGGCTCCCTCCGATCAGACGTGCGTTTCGATGAAGGAGTGCGTGTGCGTGAGCTGGGGTGCCGGCGCGGCCAGTTCAGAGGCACCGTTCTGAGGTTTCAGGGTTCCGCTGTACTCGCAAATGTCCATTAAAAACTCAAAGTTTTTTTGTTTCCAGTCTCTGAACTTCTTGGATGAAAAAGCCGGGTCGTCCAGGAGGCAGTCTAGGACGGAGAGGTCTCCTTCTTTTGCCTGTGCAGTAAAGGAGTAAAAAGCATATTTACTTAGGAAGCTCCAACTGTCACCCGTGCCGTAGCCTCAGCGAGAGTTTGATTTAGATTAAAAAAGAACTATGAGGGGAGTGAAAATCACTGATCCTCATAGTTCGGGCCGACGTGTGACAATGAGACTGTCACAGGTCGGCTCAGTAGATCGGGAGGTGAGGGAACACATACCGGCGTTCGCTCACCTCTCGATCTATCCCTGCAGAGAGCCGTGACTGTCACTCACGGCTCCCTGCAGCGATTCCCTCCCCGCTCCGATCTTCCAGCGCTGACTGGAGGAACGGACGGGTGAGGGGGCGGGCACAGCTGGCTCTGCCTCTAGATAGGCAGAGCCAGCTGTCACTCACGCGATATACTGAGCTTTGGCAAAAAAAGAAGACGTCTATATAAATGACTATATGTTATCTCTGAGCCTGACGAAGGGGACCCTGTGTGGCCCCGAAAGCGCTTGCCAATGAGAGACAGCATCCGTCAATAAATGAGCATCTAACGGCTGTTATTATCGTTGTTGGAGTGCTGGTGACGTCTTCTTTTTTGTCTGTGTGTGTGGCGGCGCCATCCGCAGTCATTTTGAGCACCCATCTTTTTGTGGGGAGTCGCGGTAAGGAGTGCGGTAAGGAGTGCGGCAAGTTTTCTTTTTTCTTATACTGAGCTTAGGGTGACGGGAGGACGCTAGTATGTGTCCTCCTGTGACCCTTAGGAGAACTATGAGGAAAAACACTTACCCCATAGTTCTCCTTTAATTACCGAGCTGAACAAAAATAATTGTCCTCTTGCCTCTGTGTGACCCCCATGGGGTGTATTTGCTTAATGTTGCAAGGCAATTTTCCCTTAGCTTAGTAAATGAGGTGAAGCCCTGCTGACTTCTATCCTCCAATCATCTTCAAGTACAAATTTGTTTTTTTATTTTATTTTCATGTGATTTTGCAAAGTGAATTTTTTACAACATTCAGTAAGCGGAGGGAAAACTCGGTGGCAAAGCGAACAGCCTTTTGTAAATAAACCGCTACAGGGTTGCCTAGAGGCAAGAGATTGATCTCAGTAATGAGTGAACCAGCAAAATGTGAACCTTAAAGGAGAACTATGGGGTCAGTGTTTTCCCCATAGTTCTCCTTAGGGTAACGGGAGGACACAAACTAGCGTCCTCCCGTCACCCTAGGCTCAGTATATAGGGAGCTACAGCTCGCGGTATACTGAGACCGCCGTAGCCGGAACGGATCCCGACATTGATGACGGGATCCGTCCAGCTGCGTGAGTGACAGCTGGCTCCGCCTATCTAGAGGCAGAGCCAGCTGTACCCGCCCCCTCCCCCGTCCGTTCCGCCAGTCAGCGCTGGTGGATCGGAGCGGGGAGGGGGGAATCCAGCCCCTCCCCCTGTCACGGCAGAGAGCCGTGACAGGATCGAGAGGTGAGCGAGCGCCGGTATGTGTTCCCTCACTTCCCAATCTACTGAGCCGACCTGTGATAGTCTCATTGTCACAGGTCGGCTAGAACTATGAGGTGAGTGAAAAGCACGCCCCCCTCATAGTTCTCCTTTTAAATAGTCAACGGAACATCTTGGAGATGCAGGAAAAGTTGCGGGAGCGGGAAATATTGATACGGATGAAAGAGCAAAATGAGAAGCAAGAGGTCACTAGAGGTTTGAATGTAACGGAGATGATGGATTTACAGAAATAGCCAGCATGGAAGAAGCATCAGAAGACAGTGGAACGTGACACAGAAATGAACGGAATGGGCTGAAAACTTTAGAGAAGGGATAGAGGAAGGTATACAACAGGGATGCGGCCCTCCAGCTGTGGTGGAACTACGAATCCCATGAGGCTTTGCAAGATTCTCACAGACACAGACATGACTACCGATGAGAGAGAGAGAGAGATGCTTCATGGGATTTGTAGTTTCACCACAGCTGGAGGGCCGTAGTTTGGACATCCCTGTATACAAGGACTGGAAGAAGAGACATCAGGAGCTACAGAATGAAAAGAAGAGGTTACAGGAGAAGGTGAAGAAACAGAATGGTAGACAAAGCAACATAAGGGGCTGAATAAGATGCGGTATAGACCCGAGAAAAGACAGAAAATGTTACAGAGAAGACAGAGAACATTATAAAAAGGACAGAAGAAGCAGTGGCGTAACAATCACCATAGCGACCCAGGCGGTCGCTGTGGGGCCCGGCCAGATGCCGTGCTGGGTCGCTATGGGATCTTCTGCTGGCGGCTTTCACTGGCGTCTGAAGACGAACACGCCGCTGTTCAGATCATCTGTGCAGCGGCGCATTCGTCTCCACAGTCAATGAGAGCCGGCAGCGGCGGGGGGAGCAGGCTGGACCCAGTGTTCTATGAACGTCGCGAGCCTCTGACATCACCGGCAGTAGAGGAGGAGGCGGGGCCCGTGCTCGGCAGCAGGGGAGGAGGCGGCCTCGGTGACGAAGAAGGAGGCGACGGAGGAGGTAAGGAGTGCGACCAGCCCACCTGAGGGCGATCCTGCAGAGCCCACCATAGATAATCTATGGCGGGCTCTGCAGGGTCACCCTCAGGCGGGATCTCGAGTGGGCTCTACAAGGGGTATAACTAGAAATCACGGGGCCCTATACAAAATTTAGCTATGAGGCCCTGTGATTTCTAGTTACGCCCCTGAGAAGAAGCTACAGCAAGGTCAGAAATGAAATACTAGACATATAAACTGAAGAACATTCATGGGAAATAGAAGAGGCTGCAGCTGGGAAAGAAGGAGTTACTGAACGGATAAAAGGAGCTACAGAAAGGAGAGAACCGGCTACATAAGGAGTAGAAGAAGCTACACAAATGGGGGGAAAAAGCTTCAGAAGTGACATCAGAAGCTTCAGAATGAAAAGAAGAGATAGGAGAAGGGAAGGGACAATCGGCGGCTGCAGAAGAAGCTGGACAGGGAAAGGGACAGAAGATGCTAAAGAAGAGCCAGACGTTACATAAGAGACACAAGGATGTGAAGAACTTACATGAGGAACAGAAGGAGCTATAGACGGAAAAAAAGAAAAGGTTACTGAACAGATAAAGGAGCCACAGACAAAGGAGAAGAAGCAACAAAGGAAACTACAGAAGATGATACAGTAGAAGCTACAAAAGAGACAGAAGCAGCTACAGAAGTGTTAGAATTTGTGCAAGTTACAGAAATCGGGGACAGTTCTACAGAAATTAAAATGGTTAGAAAACCCAATTATTAATGGGACAGGATTATTAAAGTTCCGGAAAAATAAATAAGCCTCAATCTTTACCACTCACTTTTAAAGTGCTTTTCAGTGCTCGGATGCGGTGCAGCTTATCATTGATGACGGGGTCGCTGCATCTTTTAATAAACGACCTCTTGAACTCCTGCTTGGTAGAAGGTCGCTGCTCACCAAAGGCAGACAGGCTGGCTTGTTCCAGAGACTTGTAGAGCTCCTCTAGGCCGTCTGTGCTGGAGCGGTTCTCGTTCTTACTGTCTGAAACACACGCAGCATTTTATTATCTACTCTCACACGCTTGTGGCTTCAAGAGGCAGATCAACAGGGCTTATCTATAATCAACAAGTAATGAGCTGACCAGGACACCTACTATACGGTTCAAAAGAATGTGGACAGCTCTCCAAATGATTGAGATGAGGAGTTTCAGATTAAAGGTACTGTTATCACACAACATACAAAGACATTTTATACGATGGTGGACTTCCAACAGTCTAAGGAAGGCACTTTTCTGTTTCAGCATGAACACATGCTCCATAAAGATATGGTTTGACCATTGTGGTGTGAAGGAACTCGAGTGTCCTGCACAGAGACCTGACCTCAACCCTACTGAATACCTTTGGGATGAATTGGAACACCGATTGTAAGCCCGGTCTTCTCATCCAACATCAGTGCCTGATCTTACAAATGGGCATTTTAGACTATTGTGCTCTTCCAGCCTTGTGGTCACAGTTTGTTGAAGACCCTTTTATGTTCCACCATGACGGTCCCCGTGCATAAAGACATGGTTTGACCATTGTGGTGTGAAGGAACTCGAGTGTCCTGCACAGAGACCTGACCTCAACCCTACTGAACACCTTTGGGATGAATTGGAACACCTATTGTAAGCCCGGTCTTCTCATCCAACATCAGTACCTGACCCTACAAATGGGAATTTTAGACTATTGTGCTCTTCCAGCCTTGTGGTAACAGTTTGGTGAAGACCCTTTTCTGTTCCACCATGACTGTCCCCTGTGTCCAAAGCCATCTTCATAAAGACATGGTGTGACCAGTCTGGTGGAGGAACTCCAGTGTCCTGCATAGAGCCCTGACCTCAACCCTACTACCTGACCTCACAAATGGGACAAATGCCCACAGACACCCTCCAACATTTTGTGAAAAGACCAGAAGAGTTGAGGATGGTATAACTGGGGAGCAACTCCATATTAATGGCCATTGTTTGGGAATGGAATGTCCAAAAGTTGATATTGTTGTGGTGGTCAGGTGTCCACAAACTTTAATAACGATTTCTCTTTTAAGGCCCCTACATTCATTTTACCTTCTCTACTGGAACTGCTGTGCTTCCTCTTTGGTAACTCATCCTCCATCTTTTCTTCTAATGGTTCTGTGTTGTTCTTTGCCCGGTTCTTCCCCCTACCATCCCTGTTCCTTGGCAAGCTTTGGCTGCGCTGCTTTTGCGTTCGAGCATGCGCTGTGTGACTCCGGGGACACTCTGCTAGGGGGAAGGGTCCGTCTTTTTCATGGTTGTGGCGCCTCTGGACTGGTAGCGTGGCTTGCCTGCGCTTTTCTGGCGACATCCCCATCTTGCCCTCCACATTCTCAGAGTCGGTAGGCACCGTCTGTAGGAAGTGGAGCCCGGAACTGGTCAGGGGGGTTTCTATTAGGTCTTGCCAAGACCGGCGCTCTCTGTATGTGGGGCGACACCCTGAGGAGTGCGTGCTGCCGGTGGCGTCCTGCCGCGACTCCTCTGCGGAGGAGTGGGAGTAGGTGGATTCGCTGGAAAAGTGGCGCCCCCCGTGTTTCTGTTCGGGAAAGGGACTTGAAGAATTGCCCTGTGAAAACAAAGTGACATCCAATGGTTTCATGGGTAATGCATAAATTACAACAAAACACCCAATTTTGACCTTTTTACACCAGGTTTCTTTTTTTTAGCCTAATGTGGCATTGCGTGGCAATACCACGGTGTTGAGTGGCCTCAAACTCACCCAGGGTTCTCAGCCAGAGGGGCTGAGTGGCTCCAGGAAGCAATTGCTTGTATCAGGAAAGAACTGTCTTTCCAGTCCTTTCCGGGTTTTCTGGATCACAGTTGGGATCCTGGAGCCGGGAGATTTCTTAGAGCTCTGGGTGGGAGGAAATCTCCATTCCTGGGTCCATGCTTTGGTAGTAACCAGCACCTAATTGTGCACCTGTGCACATCCCTCATGAACAGAGTGCTGGGATGTGTTCAGGGCCCCACCTGGGAGACAGGAGAACTCCACCTAGGAGTCAGTGTGGAGGCCGGTGCAGCAGGTTTGTGAAGCCTATGGTGAGGATTGGCACGTTATTGAGATTGCCTGGGGGAACCAGACAGTGGCCCTGAAGATTGAGGCCGGAGCAGCAGTGCTGCAAGAGAAACTATTAAAAGACTGGGGCACCGTGAGTGTACGGAACAACTCGGTGATTGGTGAGCCGATATATATATTTATATATATATTCTGCTGAAGACAAGCTACTTTTATGTTGAGCTTCCTTGAGTATCTGCTGTTGAAATACCAATAAATGTATACAAGAAAGATAAAGAAAAGCTGGGCTTTAAAAGTGTCCAGACCATACGAAATGCCCGTCAAACCTACATGGTTTTGTATAAAAATATATTTTAATACATAAAGATAATTTGAAGACTTGGTCACATTTAAAATGTCATTGACATGATACAATGTTACATTAAAATCAAGCTACCTCCTTTTGGTGCCCACACACGTGTACATATATTTATACATCATAGACTCCTTGCAAGTCCTAAATCCTGTAATAATTGTATGATCCACTGTGGGCCCAATCTTCTGACGCGTTTCGCAGCTGTATTCTAAGACATTGCATCAAAATAAGTTTAAGTATAATGATCACAAATACCAAATTCTTAATGAAAATAACAATACAAAACCCACTTCATGTTCACCAAGGTGGCTGGATCCTTGTTCCCACATGCTATCTCGCAATCACCGCTTTTCTTTATCTTTCTTGTATACAT